TTGACACCTGTGGTTTAGACAAACAAGGTTTCCATCTAGTATGAATTATGCATTAGACACATAAATAAAATCTTCATTGCTCCAAAAAACTGAAAGAACAAAAACATTTTTATTTCTACTATGGCAATTTTGGCTTTATTTCTTCAATTTGCCCCCTGGTCACTGCTGCTCAGGGACCAAAGTAGATTTTAATTCACAGGGTTTTGATATGAAAAAAGAAAAATACAGAGAGAATCTACATCATTTCCTTTTAATCCCCTGGCAATCGTACATTTAATGATTATGCCAACTTAAATATTTAAAGGAAACAAACTGTTTTAATGACAATACAAAGAAACATTTACATCAAAAACTTTTGCCACAAATCGTACAAGAGAAAGACTTCTCACCTGTGTGAATTTTGATGTGTTCATTCAAATGAGACTTTAAGGCTAATCTTTTTCCACAGAAAAGATATTTGAAAGGCTTCTCACAAGTGTGAGTTCTCGTGTGTGTTAAGATCATATTTAAAAGTGAAGCTTTTTCCACAGGACATAGATTTGAAAGGCTTCTCACCTGTGTGAGTTTTCATGTGTAAGCCAAAAGGGAAAAAGGGTCCCAGCGTTCTCACACACCTCGCTCTTCTAGCTGTTCCACCTTAACGAGTTGTTTTCTGCAATTTCATATCATAAAAATAAAACAGGCCGAACTCCTGTCTGCGGCACTGTCTGTGCTAAGGATGGGACTTCACATGCTAATGGCTTGGATTCTTTAGCAAACATTGCCCCCCTGTGGTACTTGTATGTTACTATCACAAGTTGTTCAGGAATGCCCAGGAACAGCACTGGTTCTAATTATAGCCCCGGCCTGTATAAGAGTCCGGCCAGTATTTACCTCTGGCGACAGTGAGACAGACCATTATTAGGGACCCAGCTGCTAATGGAATACAGGCCAATTTTAGAGGATTTACGGTACTTCAATTAAAATCATTTAAAATCATAATTGTCCAAGATGACCAAAACAAAAAGGATTTGATTTTTTAGTCATATCCTCATCATTCATTCAAACTTTCTTCCATTATTGATCTGCAGTCATTGGTATATTGCAGCCACTATGTTCACATTGCTCTTGGCTGTAGTTGGATAATTTGCTTCAAACCAAATAGAAACACCTCTGATTCAAATTGCCATTTTTTGTTTTTCTTTGATAAGTTTGCTTAAAGTTCACATTTTTGTTGGATTGAAACTGTTGGAATAATTATGTATAAGATACTTAAGGTTTGTTCTTATGATGTATAATGTGTGACATATCACTGTTCCAGAGAGGTGTTGCACAAGCAGTATAGGTCAACTCTCAGGAAGTATTGCTCAAGCTTAACAAAACCAGGAGGTTCATTTGAATGCAAGATATTTAAATGCAAATTGACCTGTTCACTGAGGCTGCAAATTGAATTGTATTTCTTGTTTCCTATTCCTTTAGCGCAACCTCAGCTTGTGTAACTAGGCCCCCCCTGACTTTAATAAATAGCGAGGATAAAGCTAAAGACCGGCAGAGTGGGTTGGAGATGTACCTGCACGGTCTCTTCCTACTCTCCTCGAGAGTAAAAATAATTCTGACTCTGTGCCTTTCTCTCCTTGTTTTACAGTGTTTTAGATGTTAGACCTGACAGAAACACAGCTATTTCATCACAGGTCAAACATGGAAAAGGCCTCTACTGTTCGTTCCTGTGGGGTTAACTGATGTGAATTCTTATGTGAAAGAATAAATCTCTAATTTTAAGATTGGTTTATTGTGTCATAGATGAAACATGTTTCTTACATGAGTCGCCATGTGTTTAGTCAAGCAAATTTTTTGAGTGAAACTTTTTCCGCAGGACATACATTTGAAAGGCTTCTCACCTGTGTGAGTTTTCATGTGTTTAGCCAAATTACTTTTTAGAGTAAAACTTTTGCCACAAATCGTACAAGAGAAAGACTTCTCCCCAGTGTGAATTTTGATGTGTTCATTCAAATGAGACTTTAAGGCAAATGTTTTTCCACAGAAAAGACATTTGAAAGGCTTCTCACCAGTGTGAGTTCTCATGTGTATGTTAAGATCATAATTAAAAGTGAAGCTTTTTCCACAACACATACATTTGAAAGGCTTCTCACCTGTGTGAGTTTTCATGTGTTTAGCCAAATTACTTTTTAGAGTAAAACTTTTGCCACAAATCGTACAGGAGAAAGGCCTCTCACCTGTGTGAATTTTGATGTGTTCATTCAAATTAGACTTCGAGGCAAAGCTTTTTCCACAGGACATACAATTGAAAGGCCTCTCACCTTTGTGATTTTCGATGTGTGCACTGAAGTGAGAGTTTAAGGTAAAGCTTTTTCCACTGGAAAGACATTTGACAGGCTTCTCGCCAGTGTGAATTCTGATATGTCTGTTAAGATTACATTTCGTTGTGAAGCTTCTTCCACAGGATAGACATCGGAAAGGCTTCTCACCAGTGTGAATTCTCATGTGTTCAGTCAAATTACCTTTTTCAGTAAAACTTTTGCCACAAACTGTACAGGAGAACGGCTTCTCACCTGTGTGAATTCTCACATGTTTAGTCAAATGAGACTTTAAGGCAAAGCTTTTTTCACAGAAAAGACATTTGAAAGGCTTCTCACTTGTATGAATTTGGATGTGTCTCTCAAAATTAGATTTCTCAAGAAAGATTTTTCCACATGACAGACATTCATAAATGTTCTGACCAGTGTGAGTTCTAATATGAACTATTAAATCTTCTTTTATTAAAAAGTTTTCTCCACATGTAATACATCGGAAAGGTTTCTCCCCTGTATCTGGAGTGTCCTCCATGAGAACAAGCTGCTCTTCATGCTCACTAATGGGGAGCTCCATGGTTTCCTCTTTTGTCCAGGGATGTTCTGGCTTTTGCTGCTCTTCTTTGATCTGCAGAGGTTCTAGTTCCTCTTGGTCCAAACTGGAATTTCCCTCCTGTTCACAGAGCTGCTGGTCAGAGAAATCCTCCTCTTTTCCAACATAATCCTGCAGGCGGTCTGGAAAGACAAACACAGAAAAAAGACTTTCTATTGTACTTTAAGAAAGGACACTTCACTTTAATCATCCCGTTGTTGATCCAACAACATACAAACAGACTAGAACTGCATCTTCTAGCATTCACTGCAGCTCTGACGCCACAATCACTGTTCATAAAATGCTGGTTAATGCTCCACCATTTGGCAAGATTAAGACCTCCACTTTTATCATCAAAGCTTTAAAATCTGTATGAATGGATTACCTGCAGATTCTTAACCATTAAAGAAATGTTTATTTTTACATTTTTTTACATTTATTTTTTAGCTGAACTGTCCAGGTTTTACAATGCCTTTCTCCCAGAGGCTGCTGGAGAACCGAGGGTATGCACAAACATTTATCACAGAAGGCTAAAAGAAAAGGGAGGCACACTCTAGAAAGCCAGAGCTCCATCGCATTCTGGCCTAATCAAACTCTTTTTCTAGCAATCTGTCTTCGCTGACCTCAGTACAGAGCTAGATTGTAAACCTTCTGACTCAAACTCCTTAGACAATTAGTAGAGAAATATTTAAAAGTATGGAAAAAAAGACTAAATGTACCCCTTACAATATGGCTAATAAGCACATTATACACCTTAAGTCCATAGAGTAATGAAAAAGCCAATTGTTCCATTTGAACTATTTGAAATGCAGAGACGTGTATAACAACATGTCAACCAGAGGCACAAGGCTAAAGCTAAACAAATATTTCTGCGACTGTTTTAGCTTGAATATCCTCTATTTCTTTTAGAAAAATGTGCGAAAGGATTTTTGCCTTTGTAGATTGAAAAGATGTTTGTGTGTTCCCTTTCAACGGAATTTCGTAAGAAGTTGATCTATCAGTTAGCATTGTTGTTGCGCCATATGCCATGATCATGGTTCTTGGACATTGGGAACCAGTGTCCATATTTAATCTTGACATGATGACCAGAGAAGAGGATAAAAGTTTGGCTCACAAGCAGCTCTAAGATCTCTGCAACCCCAACAAACACCCCACCACCACCCCCAACCCCCCCGTGTCAGTTATATGGCAAGTCTTAGGCCCCGTCCACACGAAGTCAAAACGAACACGAAACGCTAATATTTTCCAGAACGTTTGTTGTAAAGACGGAGACGTAAAATAAATATGATCGTCCACACGAATGCATGAAAACGCTGCAAAATGTATGCCAGGCCTGTAAGTGGC